GTATACATATATATGTACGTACATGTTTATTTGTTTATTTATTTACTTATTTGTTTATTTATTTATATATACATGTAATGCTAGCTTCCTGATTTCAGCGGTTCGTTTGGGTGATTTGTTGTTGTTCAATAAAGTACTCAACAAACATGCAAAGCATGTTTTCGAACCCGATGAAACGCTGACATTAATTGTTCGCTTACGGCAAAATGTCATCAAAACAGCGCTACGCCAGATTAGTACAGCGTATTCGTGCATTTCGATCAAGGATATTTGTAAGAAGCTTCTTTTGCACAATGACCAGGAAGCGGAATATTTGGTTGCTAAAGTAAGTTTCCTGAATTACATCACTGCGGACCACATTTTCGTTATAAAGTAGTCGCTAAAATACACAAAGAAGTACCAGCTCCGTCTCTTCCTCTTTTCCACCAACGATGAAAATACGTTCGATTGCTGAAGCGGAATGCAGTGCTAAGAGCTTTTGTAGGTGAGGGTGAAAGTTATTAGGGAACCGAATACAGGCTGTCACTAATCCGTCACGTTTTCCGCTCTAGTCCGCCGAAAATTGCGTGAGGTACAGGGTACCACACTGTTCAGTTTTTTTCACGAGTTGTCGAATCGGCAAATTGCTCCTGCCCTGATAGCCGTAAAAAGTGGGATGTGGTTAAAAGCGCTATTACGAGAACAGACGCATATTTTTGCCCCTTTTAATCTGATGGAGTGTTGTAAAAAAAAAAGGTGGATTCATCCTAATTTCCCCGTAGCTAAGACTTTGAATTGGGATTTCCGGTAATAGCGCTTTTGGCCTTTCCGTTATTGAAAAGTAGCTATTTGTAGGCTATCAAAGACGGCGGTATCGAAGCGGCAGTTTCGTTCGATTCGCAGCATTCATCGGAAAGATACATGCAATCGAAGGAGACTGAAGATGTTTATCGCACAACGGAACCTCAAACGCATTTTGATACTCGTATTAGGTGCGTTTCATCCCAAATCATCTTCGCGCTCTCAACGTATTTGGCAATCTTTCCGTGTTACTGCGACCGAAGTTACGTCATTAGTGTTCGGTCTAGTGCAAAAACTTTTTTATGCGTTTCTTGCATCTATGCAATGCAGAAAATGCATGTTGACGAGGGGTTGTCTGTGTGAGCGTCTGTACCGATTTTTCATCTCAACACCTACAAAAGCTACAGGGCTGAAACTTCGAGAACTTAATCTACGTTCACTTATGGGCCCCAATCCCCAAATTGGGCGCTCTTGCTCGCGTGATACCCACCTTCGGGCTCGCCAAAATTTTTTAGGGGGCAAGCTGCTAACTCGGGAACCGGTAATACTGGAAAGCTGAAATTTTAAGCGGACGTTCCACGTCCACGCAAATATTAATGAGCTCAAACCCATCCCTCGGGTATGCGTCATGCACGTGAAAGTTTTTTTCGGGTAAGCTGCTAACGTGGGAACATGAGAAGCTAGAGGACTGTAATTTTAAGAAAATTTTCCCCGTCCACGTAAATGTGAATGAGCTCAAGCCAGCCCCCGAGTGTGCATGATTCCTATGTACGGACCTACCAATTTTTTTGCAGGTAAGTTGCTAACTCGGGAGCCAGGAAAGCTAGAAAGCTAAAATTTTAAGGAGATGTTTCCTGACAGTCCTGGTGCCCACTCTTAATTTGTTTAGTTAGAAGCTTTTGTCGGAAAAACCGTGGGGAACTATGCAGAAAACGCATCTTCGCACTGGCAGTCCGTGCATTGGCCAATTGTTTTAATTCAAAATGCGGAGCAAAAAAGTTGAAAGTTGTACCTTGGTTCCTTGATCGCTGAACCATAGTGAGTATACTTTTATCAGTTCGCCAGACGCGTGCACTTTTCTACGGTAATGATTGTGTTAATTGATAATGTCAAGACTGTTCTAAATTTTTATTTCTCCATGTTTATTCTGTCTTGAGTGATCAGCTGTTTGGGGTTTTCCTAAAGTGTTAATGTCTCTGGACGCGTGTTTTTTAGAAGAACTTTGTGCATGGTTTGATTTGGCACGCGATTTGCTGGATACGACTGATGAGGATAGATTTCTAGTATTATTCCATCGAGCTTTGGCTTGTTTTTTACTGGATCTCCAAAATTTACCGCACTGCCGGTATGGAGATCCAGTGCTGACAGGCGAAGGATTTTGGTTTTGCTGGATTTTTTGACTGTATCTGCGTCTGCGTCAACTGTGTGTCTGTGTCATTGTGCATCTGCGTCTTGTGTCCATAGCGTAGATTTTCGAAACCATTCAAGTGATCGTACGTACCGGGCAAAATGCGTTGTAACACGCTGGCACTTTTCTGGTGTTCACAGCAACATGTTTCTTGTCACTTTTTTGCACTATCTTGTAAAATTATTCTGTCCGTTCATCATTACAGGTATTGTTTGGAATTGCATAATCAGGCCGTAAAAGCGCTGCGTTATCCGGCAAAATCGGGTAAAGGCTTAGTGGAATCAATTGAGGAGCAGCGAGAACGCGAAATGCAGGTGCGAATTCTTTTTCGGCTTTTTAGGTGTTACTGTGAACATTAGATGTGCACGAGAACTGAAAAAGCAAGGAAAAAGATGTTTTTTTTTAGCCAGTCCTTGTACACTTACTTTCACCTACATATGCATTTCGCGATGTCCGCGCATGCCTACTCATTTTAACAGTTTTTATGCGTTTTGTGCTGTGTAACAGCATTACAAAATGCATATTATCACGGGGTTGTCTGTGTGTGTATGTGGCACATTTTGTCCCGCACTTTTAACTCGCGAATCACAAAAGCTAGGCGGCCGAAATTTTAATACAGTGTTCCCCGCCAACGGGTGACGCGGCAAATTTAAATTCAGCCTTCCCGTACCCGCGGGTAACAAGTACGGCCCCCTGAAAGTTTTTTACGGGTAAATTAATATCTCGGGAACCACGGAGTCTAGGACGCTGAAATTTTAGGATAATGACCCCCTGCCCACGCTCAACCTTGCTTATTCAAATTCAGCGTTCCCGCGCCGTTGAGTATCACCTACCGCTCCTTGAAAATTTTGGCGGGCAAACTATTAACTCGGGAATCACGGAAAGATATTCACCCTTCAAGGTTTCGAATTTAGCTTTTATGCGCTGGTGCGTGAAATTTTTAACTATTTTCCAATGTTTGAACTATTTTTGCATAGACTAAAGCACAAAGCAGTGGAAAACATTAATAGGCAGTCGTTCGATGGGCTGAATTGCACAAAACGCATGATCGCATCGGCTAATCTGGTGCGCGTTGCTATTTAT